CAGATGAGAACCTGAATCTCAGAGAAGCTAAGCAAAGGGCTCAAAGTTAAGCTATTAATTGACAGAGCTGGGATTTGAACCCAAGATTGTCTGACTCCAAAGCCTATTTTGCCCTACAGAACACTTCCATAAGGAAAGTGTCTTAGTTTTCTATTGCTGCAAAACAAATTACCGCAAATTAACAGCTTCAAACAGTACCGATTTATCAGCTCACAGTTCTGTAAGTCAGCAGTCTGATACAGCATGACTGGATTCTCAGCTCATTGTCTCACAAGGATGAAATCAAGATATTGGCCAGGCTGCATTCTAATCTGGAGCTCAGTGTCCTCTTCCAAGCCCACGTGATTATGGCAGGTTTCAGTTCCTTGAAGTTGTAGGATTAAGGTTCCTCTTTCCTTTCTGGCTGTCAGTCAAAGGCCACTCTCAGCTTTTAAAGGCTGACCTCATTTCTTGCCATGTGGACCCCTCCACCTTCAAAGCCAGCAACAGAGAACTTTCCTTGTGTTGAATCCCCCTGATTCCATGAATGTCTTTCCAGAAAGAGCCCAATCTATCTCTTTTTTTGTGGCGGGGGTGGGGGAGATTAGCCCTGAGCTAACATCTGCCACCAATCCATCTCTTTTTGCTGAGGAAGACTGGCCCTGAGCTAACATCTGTGCCCATCTTCCTTCACTTTATATGTGGGACGCCTACCACAGCATGGCTTGCTAAGTGGTGCCATGTCCACACCTGGGATCTGAACCAGCGAACCCCGGGCCGCCAAAGTGGAAAATGCGCACTTAACCGCTGCGCTACCAGACTAGCACCCCCCCCAAGTCTCTTTTAAAGGATCATCTGATTAAGCCAGGCCCATCAAGGATAACTTCCCTTAAAGTTCAACTGAATTGTGACCTTAAATCTGCCCAATCCTTTCACAATGCCACCTAGATTAGTGTTTGACTAACTGGAAGAAGGTGTGTGTACACCAGGGATTGGGAATCTCGGGGGCCATCTTAGAGGTCTATCTACCACAGAAAGTGATTCTTTTATGCTCCAAATTCCATGGTCAGATATGAGGAAAAACAAATCTTTGAACTTAGGGAGAGGGATTCAAACTTTCTAAAACTATGGAAACTTCACCTCACCTTGCCTGTCCCCTGCCCATTAATGAGAAATCCTCTATCTTGAGGTGGCAAGGAATGAGTCAGGAACAGTTCCTAAAGGTCACAGTGGCTATAGAAGCTACAGATTAAGCACATCTACCTCTCCGTAGGGATACACCATGGAACCTGATATGAAAAATCTTTCTCTGGTGCTGTAGAGACAGCCCTCACAGGAGTCTAATGCCACCAGACTGAAAAGTAAGTTCCCCATAAGATCCACGAGCAGGATTCAGGCATCATGTCAGATGCTCCAAACCCCTAAATAGCAGGTAGGGACAGGGAAGTACCTTGCCAATGTCCCTTTGTTGTCACTGCTCTGACCTAAGACTGAAAGACAGGGAAGAGATGCAAAGCAACTCACACAACATCAGAACTATCCACCTTTACTGTCCGCTTTCTCCTGGCTTCACCACTCAATTTAAGTAAACTATTGAGTCTCTGCCATAACACAGGGGCTAGCAGGTTTGCACCTTACAGGAAAGAGTTAAATCTGACTCTGGGGCTCAGGTGCAGGAGGCGGGAGGGGTGTGGGGGCGGCCTTCAGGGAAGACAACAAGGCCTTGGGCATTGAGTAACAGCTGAGACTAGCAAGCCTCATTATCCAGCATTCCAAGTCGTCTAGCAACATGCTGGCCTCTGCTGCAGAGAGAGAACAGAGGATCCCCCAACAGAATGAATGGAATCTGATTTCAATTACGTTCAGTACGGTCACTCTCTTCAGGGAGAGAGGCCAGAACACCTGGTGCAGCTTGGGCCGCTGTGGCCGCAGGGACTGCACATTACCCAGGTCCTGGAGGCAAGTGGGAATGCAGCTTCTCTTCCTCAAGCAGATGCCATATAGGTATAGAAGAGGAGGATGTGAAAATACCAGCTGAGTTCTCATTAGCACTACACAGAGAAGGGGAAATATTTCATATTGATGGATTCTCCCCATAGTCTCTGCACATATTGATCTTGCTTGTAATGAGTTTTCTTAGGTCCACGAGTCATCACCCCACTGAGATCTGAGTCATTGGTGGGAGAGTTGAGGTGACAAAGTGTACCTCACTGATTGCACCAGCACCAATTGCTCTGTGTGTCCCTCCACCTTTTAGAAAGCCCATGGATTCATCTGTATAAAATTCATCTGGATTCTTTTCTTCTTTATCAATAGCATGAGTAGGGCATGACAATGGGACAGCTGCTCCAGAGAACAGTTTAGAGTCACAGCACTATTCCACAGAACTTTCTGAGATGATGAGAATGTTCTGTATCTGTGCTGTCCAGTGTAGCAGCCACTAGCAGTTAGAACATGGGCTTTGTAGTCAGCATACCAGGTTCAGATTATTGGGTTCTCTTTCTTGATAGCTGTGTTACCTCAGTTTACTCACTTGCAAAACAGGGATAGGAAATATTCCTAACTTCCTACGTCATTGTGGAATTACATGATGGAATGTGTTCATGAATTGAGGCACATAGAAAGCCCTGAAAAAATATTTACCCATATTTCTCTTAGTTACTTCAGGCATAGAACTAATTACATCTCTGTCGTCTCCCAGGCTGGAAGGGTGACTCTATGGTCCAGCAATTCCTGAGTTCAAAGCCGCAAAGTGCCAGTGAGAAAGAAGAGGGGGTCTACCTCTAGAAACTGTACCAGGAGAACAGATCTGATAGGCACTGCCAGTCTGTAGAGCTGCCTACAAGAACCCATGTCAGCAATGGGTTCACCAGATGACAAGATATTGTAGAACCCAGGCCTGTAGCTCTGGGGAAAAATGGGCTTAGCCCAGCCCATACCTTCCACTATGTGCCCTTGGTGGGAGGTAGGAAGTGGGAGTTGACAGTGGATGTGCATATCTCCCTTATTACTGACTGTGCCCAAGCCCTGCAGAAATGATTGTTGGACAAGGTCATCTTGCACTCTGGATTGATTTTCCAGGCTCTCTTGTTATTTACCCTGAGTTCTTCTCTGTGTTCCTTTTGTACCACCCACCCCAACATTTTCTCCCTTTCTATCTTAGTTGTTAATCCAAACATATGATCTATTCTTGCACTTATTTACTGAGTTGCACTATGATTAGAGTTTGCATTGTAGGACTCATTTTTCTAATTAGAGTTGAGAGTCAGTTCCAGATAAATATCTTTTTCTGTCGGAGCCAGAAGCAGGTCAGCAACAAGTTTTGTTGTATTTATCCATTTAAATTGAGCAATCAACTTCTCTCTTTGCTTTATACCTTTTTTATTTATTATTATTATTTTAAAGGGATTAGAGATAAAGTGGTTTATGGTCAGCCCCAGTGCAACTGCCTATGCTAGGCCTCAGAGTTATGACCTTTTCAATTATTTATATTTCTGCCAATATAAATGCTAGGGAAAATAGCACAAAGTAAACATCAGGATGCCCAAAGACCTCTAAATTGTGTGTGCGCGAGCATAGGGGAGGATGGTTCTTAAGGTCTGAGTTTTATATTATTGTTGTTTAAAATAATGTTGTTTCTATCATCCTTTCTAATGGCTGCCTCCTAGCATGGTTCCCGTTTTACAGACTGATTATAGAGGCAGGGACATTCTGTTATTTCTTTGATACTATTGAGGATTTCAGCCCTTTGGCTTCCTCCTCTGCCCTTTGCTAAAGAAGGAAATCAATACGTGTGTTACAGTGCTTGTTCAACTGTCGGTGTTAATGTCTGACAATAGCTGAGGCTGTTACAGTGTTCAGTGGGAAATGCTGAAACACCAGAAAATTCCTGTTCATTGAGCCCAAAGTGGGATAATAGAATTGGTAGTCTGAAGATGGGAAGGGACATTCGAGGCCATTTTTTAAAAACTTACTCCCATCTGTTGCTTGACTTCTTAAGCATTGTACATCTAGTCTCTGCTTGATCATCTCCAGTGACATGAGTGCTTGACAACCTTTCAATCTTCAGAGAGCTTTAACTAACAAAATGGAGTTGGGGGGACTAAAATCCAAGTCAGTATGCTTTCTGCTACCCCTAGGGTCAAAGAACAAGTCTAGTCCTTTTTCAAAAGGTCTGCCTTTCTAGTCTCTTTCTCTGGCAATCTGCTAGACATGCTGGATATTGACACAAGTACATCACTCCCTTTATTTAAAACATTCTGTATTTGCCTATCACCTATAAGATAAAGCCAAAATTTCTTAATATTATATACATGCTCCTTTAAAATCAAGACCCATCTTTGTTTTCAGCCCCATAAATAGCTACTCTCCTCACACATGCAATGTATACCCCAGCCACACTGGTCTCTGTTTCCCCCAAACACTCCTCAGTGCTTTTGTTTATGCTCTTTCTACCCCTCCCATTCTCACCATTCTTCAAGGTCCAGGTCAAATGCCACCATGCATAATGATTATTGTCTTCCTTTTTTGTTAGTACTTCTGCTATAACGTTAACTGGTTTGGCATTTTCTAGAATTGTTTGTGGGCATTCATTTCTCCTCTACCAAACTAGGTTAGGGCCTGTGTCTGTTTTGTCATCCAGAAACAAAGGCCTAACAATGGATGTCTGTTGAATAAATCATGACTATATCAGTAAATAATTTAATTGAAAGTCTGAGGTATGGATACAGAAGACTGCATTTAGGCAGAGCCCAATCCAAGGATATACTAGGTTTGTTTGGCAAGGGGACTGGGGAGAAAGCAAGATATGAAAGTTTGAGTTTAGTAGGGATTTGGAGTGATGAATTATTCGGTCAGCCAGTGTTTAAACTGAGCACTTGTCCTTAAGGAGTTTAGAACCTGTGACCAGGGAGAGTGAACGTCCTTACTTTTTTAGTTTAGGCAACTTTTCTAACAGGGTAGCTGTGCTGTGTGTTTTTGGCCACTGATAATAAATCCAAGTTTCCTTTCCTTTTCAATAGCCCGGAAGTTAAAGAAACTTGGTAATCTGAAACTACAGGAGGAAGGGGAGGCTTCCAGCGCCACCAGCCCCACTGAGGAGCCAACCCAGAAGCTGACGGTGTCACACATTGAAGGCTATGAGTGTCAGCCCATCTTTCTGAATGTCCTGGAAGCCATTGAGCCTGGCGTGGTGTGTGCTGGACATGACAACAATCAGCCGGACTCCTTTGCAGCCTTGCTCTCTAGCCTCAATGAATTGGGTGAAAGACAGCTTGTACATGTGGTCAAGTGGGCCAAGGCCTTGCCTGGTAAGGAAAAGAAAAGTGGGGACATGGGATAAAGGAGATAATATTTAGTGAATGCTCTTGCAGGTTAGGCATTCATGTCCAATCCTTTCCTGCTCATTTACTCATGCAATCCTCACCATAACCTTATGGGAGCAGAGATTGGTATAATCGCCACTTTAAAAATAAGGAAACTCAGAATCCAAGGAGAAGGGTAGTGTTACAGAGTGTCCCATGCACTTCACATTGGCACACAGCAATCACGTTTCCGTGTTCAATCCACAGACGCAGTGAGAAAATTTGCCCGTAATCACAGATCACATAGACATACCCTCATATGCCTTAAGATGCTCTTCTACGTGTGTATGAACATGCTTATCCAAAAGATAATCTTGAGCTTGACTGATATTCTGTCTTCAATGTTCCCTTTAGGAACCATACCATGAGAACTCATATTCTGGTAGAGTAGAAACCCTATGGTAGAAAGAACATGGTGTTGGGAGCCAGAAAACTTAGGCTCTAGTTTTAGCTCTGTTGGTAACTCATTGTTTGATCCATTCCCTTTCTGGGTCTCAGTGTCTATAGCTGTATAACATATGAAGAGTGGTTTGGACCGAATTAATGGTTTTAAAATTTTGCTTCCAGGAACTGTTAGTGCTGTTTAAACTACATTAGGAATCATAGTGGGAGGAAATATTATGTGATGGTGAAAGAAATATCAAGTGTTTTTCTAACTTTTGCTTGGATACCTTCAGTGACGGGAAACTCACTTTCTCTATAGGCCATCTGTTGTTCCAACAGGTCTGATTATTAAAATGTTAGAGCTTAAAGAAGCCTCAGAGATCCTCTACACAAGGCTTCACAAACTTTCCTTTAGCAGCCAAACTCTTTATTTCACAAAAACATCTTACACAGATACAAGTGGAGCTGGTAGATTTAAAGCCAGTGCCTCTCCCTCACTACCCACAGAGAAGCCTCAGGTCACTCTTGCAGAATCTTAGGACTCCAGGGAACACAGTTTGGAAACGAAGTATAAACTCTTTAAAGGTTATCCTAATCCTAAAATTCTGTGATTCAAAGATTCTTTTGAAACATCAACCAAACCTCTTCTTATGGAGTCAAAGATTAACCTGCCTTCTGCAATCAGATTGAAATTTATGTTGAACAGAGAAGTTTCATGTGTATACCTCATTTGATCCTCATAAGAATCCTATATGGTAGGGATTCTTTTCCCTATTTTATAGATAAAGACACTGAAGCTCTGAAAAGTGATGTGCTTGGCCTATAGTAACACAGTCAGAAAGTATCAGGGCCAGAACTTGAGTACAGGTCCCCTCCTAATTCCAATCCCCTCCTCATCCCACTCCACCCATAGTCTGTGTAGTACCCTTATAGTTCTATAGCGCTGGGCTTTACAGTGAGGGGCCAAGGTTTTGTCCAAGGCCACTTGGGTCATAATGTGGACTTGCTGCCTTTGAAGACATTGCATTTTGGCTGTCTAGCCCCTGTTTTGTCTTTACAACTCACAAGGCCCATTCACAGCCATCAGACCTTCCCTAACACCTTCCCAGCTTAGGAAGCTGAGATTGACTAGCCAATAAGATCACTGGAAAGAAGGCCCAAGGATTCTGGGTATGTATGTACTGAGCCAAAACACAGGATTCACACAGGGAGGAAAAAATACAAGAAAGAAAGAAGAGAAAGTTGCTTTAATTCTTATCACTGGATGTCTTGATGTCATATGTATAACAGACGTTCAGTTTAATCTTTCCAAGCAGTTGCCACACCTAAATTGTCCCATTTTATAGGATAGAGAACCTTTTCATATAGATGATTCTACTTAATCCTCACAGTAGTTCTATGAAGCATAAGGACGATTATCTCCATTTCAAATGTTAAGGCTCAGAGAGCTTAACTAACTTGTTCCATTTGGTGACTTAACAAATGGAGCCAGAATTTGGACTCATACCCCCTGATTTCTAATTTGGTGATCTTAACAATAACCTAGTGCAAATCATTTTGGCAGAATTTGTATGACTGGGAGTCACTAGCTTTCCTCAGCCCAACCCCCAGGATAGGAACCCCTCTCTTTACATTAACAAGTCTGCAAGGCAGTGTCAGTTCATCATCTAGATTGTCCAAGGAAATTATCTCTGACCCTGATCACCTACTAGTTCAAGTTGTTTGCTCATTCAAGAGATTGAGTTCCAGTCATATGTGAGGCATTGTGCTAGGCACCTACTCAGATAAATTTTGTTGTAAGTTTTCTGTGATAGTGATGATATATGTAAATTGCCTAGTATAGTACCTGGTACATTAATAGATGAAACTGCTAATTGAGGGTGGGTGAGTAGATTGTGTATACACAGTATATTTATAATCAGATGTATCTGTTTGAAATCTTAATTATATGCTAATTATGTGACCTTGAGCAAATCAGAGGTCTACATGTGCTTCTCTTACCTCATTTGTAGAGATGGTAGAACAATCACTGTATTGCAAATTGTTATCAACATAGAGATTATGTATAAAGAGCACCTGGTGCAGTAGCTGAAACATAGTAGATGTTCTGTAAATGGTGGGTCATTATTCTGAGGCTTGAGTGCTAAGCCACTGCCTTCACTAAAATCAATTTAAGCTGCTACTAGGCTTGCCTAGAAGCTCATGCATGTGTCCCAAGGGTGAATCGTCTTCTTTGAAGACCTTGGCTGTTGGGTGCACTGGAGCAGCAAAGATTTTCTAATTGGCCTTTCTTTGGGCGTGTTCTCCCAGACTAGGCATGATACTACAGGTTTTCACTGCAGATTGCTAAGAAATGATGTTGATTGGATTCTAGTGAGAACATAGAGTCCCAAAGAAACTGCCCCTGCTTGCTAAACTGTTTGGTGTATTTCAAAACCTGAGAATGACTCCTCTCTATTTCGCCAGAACAGCTTAATACAGTGCCAAATAGGTGTTAAGTGAATGCGTGCTGAAGGAAACCTGTAGGTTGGAGCTACTGTTTCCTCAAGTCATCCCTTGATAGCCACACTATCTGAGCAGGCTACTTCAAAGGCGGGGCATTAGAGAACAGAGTTAGGTACTCTAACCAGATTAGACCTAGAGGAACATAGCCTGCTATGTTGCTGATGTGTACACAGTAATTAGGCTTGAGTGCTAAGCAGCTCTCACTAGGGACTGTTAATTAGTATTACAGCCAGACTAAGCTGTCCCTTTTTTTCCCTCTTTGTTAGCTCTCTGAAATCTCAGGGATAGCAAAAGCATCAGCATTGACAGGTTCCTTGGTACCTGTACAGTTCAATCTTCATTTTCCCTATGCACTCTCACATTCACACACTCACTAGCCAAGGCTTTTCTTGCTTCCTATTGCCTCCCACCCCAGAGGTGCAGGGTTCAAACTCCCAGCCTCCTTCACCAAGAGATCCTTGGATCCCCATGCTTGGCCCATGCTTTTTGTCTCCTACTGGGAAGAGTAGGTCCCAGCCATTCTGTGCTACAGAAGGGCTTCAGGCAAGAAATACTCTGGAGTCTGAGGCTCTGGCCAGTCTGTCAGTATGTCACCACAGTGAAGATGGGAGGCACAGACCTGGAAGCTAAGATTGCATCCAAGGGTGGTGATATGAGGGATTCTAGAATCCCTGATGTTTAGTAGGCTTGGGACCTAAAAGAAAAGAAAAGGGAAATAAGGTGTGTGTGGGTGAGCAAGTACCAACAAAGCAGGACACTGTGTCTAAATAGTATAGACTTCAGACTTGAGCCTTTGGCTAAGAAAAACTCATGACCTTGGTAGTTCTTGAGCTGTGTCCTTCAGCAGTAGAGTGGAAGAAGCACTGGAAAAGAGAATTAGAACACCTGGGTTCTAGTCCCAGTTCAGCCACATATAGACTATATGACCTTTGGGAAGTCAGTTAACTTCTTTGGCCCTCGGGCTCTTTTTTGACGAAATAATTGTCACATTGCCTACCCTCTAGGGTTATTGTGAGGGATAAATGAGGTCATCAACAGGAAAGCTAAAAGGATTATCTTAATTCATGGAAGAATTGTTAATGAGGTATATAGCAAGATGAAATTTCAGACAATTCTATATCTGTTGGGGAGAAGAGAACTTGGGTGCTGGTGAGGGATGAGCTCTGAGCTGATACTTTAAGCATCTAAGTGTTTGGAAACCTCTAGCACAACATAGCCACATCTGTTCTACCTATGTGGTATTGTGGAGGTAGCACCTGGGAGCCTGTGTTCTCTGAGTTTAAGGGGGGTAATTTGGAGAACATCTAATTCCCATTTTATAAAATAAAAAAAAAAATGAGTCCTTAGTCCATTTAATTAATATTTCTCAAATGCCTACTCAAATATCTGAACTGTGCTATGTACTAAGGAGGAAAAGATGAATACGAAGGGGGATGGTCGCTGTATTCAAGAAGCTCCAAGTCTTGTGGGGGAGACAGATGTGTACATAAATTCCAATACTGTGTAATGATTGTTATAATTGGATGGAGTTACACAAGGTACAGTCAGAAGGTAAAAGAAGAATCATTAAGTCTTCTGCTTGAATGAGTTGGAACAGGCTTCACAGAGGAGGCAGCTTTCAGTGAAGATTTGAAATATGAGTAGGTGTTTATCAGATGGAAAGCCTGGGGAGGGAGGAATGCATTCTAGGCAAAGGCAACTGCCTGTGCAGAGATAGCAGAGATATAGAGGCATGAGAAAGCTTGGTGTGTTCAGCAAACTGTAAGTTCTGCAGAATAGCTAGAACCTAAATTATGAGAAGGCAAATGACAAGAAATTAGTTGAAGGAAGCAGATCATAAAGGGCCTGTTCGTGTATAATAATAACAGCAGGGCAGGAATTACCCTACAGTAGGAAACTAGCAGGGCCAGGGTACTTGTTGAATAGAAAATAATGGAGAGGACGTGGGAGGCAGAAAAAGGGTCAGAAAAGAGAGAGAGCCTGAAGGTGGCGTGGAGAAGGCAGTGGCTGTGAAAGGCATTCCGCCATATGCTGATATGTAGTAATATCCCTCTCCCAGGGTTGTTAGAAGGGTCAAATAAGATTATAGCTAGAAAAGAGCTTTGTAAAGTGAAAAGAGCTGTTCATCTGGGAGAAATAATTATCACACGGCATCTTCAGAAAGGCATAGTGATCAAGAACATGGGCTTTGGAATCAGAACATTGCTTGGCTTTGGAAGTTAAACTGCCAAATACTAGCCTTATGATCTTGGACAAGTTCTTCAACCTTTCTGTGACTCACTTTTACTGATTCACAGAATGGAAATACTAATAGTACCTACTTGAGCGGAGGGTTGTGAGAAATGAATGAGTTAATATAAGTAACATGCTTAGAAAAGAGTTCATTCATTGTAAGCAGTCAATAAGTGTTAGATTATTGTTCTTTTCCAGCTGACAATGCCCCTTTTGCCTCCATCACCATCTCATTTGAGCAGCTCAATGAAGTAGGGAGGGCAAGCAATATTATTCCCATCATATAGTTTGTTCTCCCCCTGCTCTCCTAACATTGATGGTTCCTGGGGCTCCTCAGGGCTGCCAGAGTGCCAGAGATTGTCAGCCCAGCAGAGGCCCAGACTTCACTCAGCCCATGAAAGCCCAGTCTGACCACTGCCTCTGCCCCATCTCCAGGCTTCCGCAACTTGCACGTGGACGACCAGATGGCAGTCATTCAGTACTCCTGGATGGGGCTTATGGTGTTTGCCATGGGCTGGCGGTCCTTCACCAATGTCAACTCCAGGATGCTCTACTTCGCCCCTGACCTGGTTTTCAATGAGTAAGTGCTCATGTTCCCAGAACTCACAGAAACATAGCATCCTAGCCAGACCTCGTTGGTGGTGATGATGGTAATGGGAGTAACACAGGGGGTTAGCCCATTTTACCTGTCAGTAAGGCAGTAGAAGCCCCAGCCAACCTGCCCAATCTGAGGTGCATTTCCCCCGACTGGAAGGGCAACTGGTGGGAGGCAAGGAGGGTTGGTGCTAAAGCCATCCCTTTCCCACCCAAGACCCAATCCTGGTATTTTTCCCATGCCTCTGACCTGCTTTGTAGCTTATCTCAGAACCTCCCCTCACTCTGTGTCAGGGTCCCTTCCCTTCACTCTGATCAGCATAGGGAATGGGCAGAGAGACTCTAGCTGTGAGGGCTGAAGTTTCTTTGGTCCCTTTGCTATCACTGTGGGCTACTGCCCATCACTATTTGTTGAGCACCTCCTTTGTGCCAGGAGTATACTGGATACTTTTTAAATCCTTTCTCATTGAACCTTCATGATAACCTGATTTCCCCTTTTTATGGATAATCTTTTTTTAATTGATGGGGATAATTAGGCTCAACAAAATAAAGTGACTCACCCAAGGTCACACGGCTATTGCATGTTGGCAACAGAATTCAAAGTATGTCTGTGTAACTCCCAGCTCTTATACTGCCTCATGGTGGTAAGTGATGGGGAGGAGCAGCTCCACCACTCTCTGGCCATGTAACCATGGCCCAGCCACTTCCCTTCTTTTAAAAACAGGTTTAACTAAAGCTTGCCCGGCTAGCAGTTCTATTTATCCTTCATGAATTTGGCCAAGGGCTCAAATTTTGGAATTATACTTTTCTCAACTAAAATCTCTGTTCTGTTATTTCCTCCATCATTGTCTTTGGGCAAGACTGTTAACTTTCCTGACCCTCAGTTTCCTCATCTGTTAATAAAATACAGCTTTCTTAAATGATTTGTTATGATGACTAAAATGGGAGCTAATGGATGTGAAATGTCTGCCTCATAACAGGCAGCAAATTAAAAAAGTACCTTTCTGATACTCTTTTCTTAATAGTGATAATCTTCTCTTTGTCTGCTGTTTGAGGTCCTTTGATGGCATCGTGAATGGAGCTGGCCAGAAAAATATTCCCAAGGACCTTGAGCTAGTCTCACCACAGAGAATCCCTTTGATCAGGGCATGAATTGACCTTCCCTCCCTTCCAGACCCCTAACCCAGAAGAGTCTTAAATAAAATAAAATCTGTAGGCCGGTGGTTCTTTCCAGTACAGAAGTGCCATCTGGGGGGAAAAGAGTGTCCCCAGCTGCCCTTTTCCACCCAGCCAGCCCTGGTAGCCAGAGGCTAAGAATAACCATTGGACTTCTGGCACAACATGCTTTGTGGTTTCCGGATCTCCCAAGAGTTACCTATGATGGTATCTTCTGGGGTAGGCCTTAAAAATCCCCCTTCCTGTTCATCTCTCATCTCCACTCTCTTGCTGTCCTCCAGTAATTGAATATACTCCCTGGGCACCTGTACCACCCCTCCCCATTCAGAGCCCTAAGACCTTGGAAACTTTGCAAGGTGATACTTGGTTATTTTCTCAATCCTCATGTCCTTCTATGCCTCTGCATAAATATGTGGCACCCCACCTCAGTTTTCTGGCCATCCCATGTATTTCATCAAAAGGTACCAGAGGACTCTCTACAGGGTCAGGGTCCTAGACCTATCAAGCCCAGGGATCCTGAAACAACCACCCTCCCTCACCTTCCTCTTGTAGGAACTCACTATGTTAGAGCTCTTAGGGTCCCTAGAAACATCTAAATGAGTGTTTCTTAACAAGGATGCTGTTGACATTGTCGAAGGAATAATTTTTCATTGTGTTCCCATATATTGGAATATGTTTAACATCCCTGGCACTTGCCCACTAAATATCAAATAGGATCCCTGTCACTGTAACAGCCCAAACTACCCCCACACATTTATAGCACCCACTAGGGACACAATACCTCTCCAATTGAAAGCCACTAACTTCTGCTGGCCTCCTCAAGGTACTAATGGGGAGACTAAGGCCCAAAGAGGAACACAGGAACTCTGGGCCAACCCATTTGCTGATCTCTGTGACACCAAATCCTGTCATCAGCCTTGCTTTCGTCCTTCCTCCTCCCTTCTTTGTGGACAAGAAATACTTTGAGTGTAATAGGCTTGTACCCTAGTTATGTGACCTTGGGTAAATTACTGAACTTCCTTGAACCTCAATCTCTTCGTCTGTAGGATGGTGAATAGTATCATAATGGCACTTTTCTACATGTCATTTATTGAGCACTTACTGTGTGCAAGGCACTGTGCTCAGTGTTTTCCAATTTTTATTTCCCCTTTTATCCACTCTCTTTTACTCTCATCTACCTCTGCTCTCCTTCTGAACTCCATTCCTGCTCCCTTGTTTTCTACCTTCCACTCTCTTCTCTCTTTCCTTCCTCTAACTCTCTCCCTGTTCTTTTTTGCTCTTTGTCTCCTCTTTTTATTCCCTTTCCCTCTGAATTCCTTCTCTTGCCTTTCACTCTTTTCTTCCCTCCTTTCCCTACCTTCTCTGTCCCTGGGGCCTGCTGCAGTATTAACAGCAGTCTTCCATGTCAAGACCATGATTTCAATGGTAAAAAGAATGCAATGTTGTCATCAACATAGGCTTGGAAGTACAGTGGAGACCTGAGCAGGGCTAGACTCCAGGGTCAGCAGATCTTATTCAAAAATTCTCCAGGGTGAAAGAGCTTGGAGCAACACTGTTCTGGTCAATTGACTTGTGATACTATCTAAACACTTCCTCTTTCCAGTTGGGCTTCAGCCTGAATTGAATACTTCTACACTATCTGCCCCCTTCCCTCTTTCTCCAGGCCAGCCAAGATCTCTCTGAGATAGGGTGCTGAGCTTCCACCCAGCCAGCACCAGGCTTGCTCACCTTGTGGATGAGACTAGTGGTTTGGGGACCAAAATGTCAAACCACAGCCTTCAGGCCCTCTCTGAGAGGTCTTTTTCCTCACCCCTTAAGTAGATGTCAAATTTCTTTTTCTTTCTCCACAAGATATAGTATCAGTTTCTCTTTGTTTCTTTCTCTCTCTCTCTCTCTCTCTCTCACACACGCGCGCGCGCACACACACACACACAGTTTCTGAAGTGCTGAAAACCAGGAAGGCCTATTAGCAGGAGGATGCTTTATCTTCTCTTAGAGGCTTGCTGTGGCAACTCATGGAACAGAGAGATTGCTCCCTCCGAGAAGCTGTCAGAGCCTTGGCCACTTCCCTATATAATTCATAGGTGATAATGTGGTGATCTGTTCACAAGTCACTATAATAAAAGCAGCTCACATATATTTACAACTCCCAAACCGTGGTAAGGAATGGCCAGTATATGAGAGTAGACTCCCCTTCAGTAGGGGACATTTAAATTGGACATTCAGAAACATTTCCTGGCTGATTTGATAAGCATTAGAACTCATTTTGAAGGGACAATGGGGTATCTCTTTTCCTGGGATTTTTTAAAGAAATGATTAAATTTCTAGTATGGGAAATGACATTTAAGTCAAGAGGCAGGGAAATTGACAGGGTGAACTATTGGAGTCACTTAGGAATCCTGATGTCTTTATGTTAAGAGTTGATTTCTAAGGCCTATCTCCTAGAAATCCTCCAAGTTGGGATGCCTGAGAGGCAGGTTCTGGCTCTGGCTTTAACTGGAATATTAGAATTATAGTCAGAGAGAACATATGCCTGGCCCACTGTGTTCATTTGGTTAGGTTTTCCTGTCCTTGTCTCAGGAAACAAGAGGGGCATGGGGACCTGGAAATTCCATGTGCTAACCCATATCCTGGCCAGGGAAGATGAGTGGTTATCTGGATGTCAGGACTTTAGAAAAAAAATAATAAACAACCTTGTTCCTTGTCACTGAAACACCAGCAAGAGAAACATCAAGCACTTCTTGGAAAACCTGGGGAGGGCAGGGCAACCAGAAACATTCTCTCTGGGCTTATTATAAGCGTTTCCTCACTATTCTCCTTCCTCTGTGTGTCTTCTTCCCAGGTACCGCATGCACAAGTCCCGGATGTACAGCCAATGTGTCCGAATGAGGCATCTCTCTCAAGAATTTGGATGGCTCCAAATCACCCCCCAAGAATTCCTGTGCATGAAGGCACTGCTGCTCTTCAGCATTAGTAAGTGCCTGGGGGTGGGGCAGGGAATGCCCCTGGGGGCATAGAGGCTCAGAGGGGAGCTGCTTTTTTCATTAAAGGGTTATCGGAGAGAAGCAAACTCCTGGACATTTTCCTTCTTCTTTCACCCTCCCTTCTCTATACTACCTTAGCATCCTTTTTTCTAACAAGGATGAATTTCATGGCTAGAGACCAATTTCTTTGCTAGAATTCAACCTCCATTAGATCCCCACCTGTCCCCAGTCTCTCTTTGGGCTGAGGCCTTTCTGGCTGGTTATAGCAGGTCTCTGAATTTTCTGATAGCTTCTACCATAGAATCAGGCAAGGACAACCTTATATTTCTTGCAGGGCAGAAGAGATTGCCTCTTGGAAGGAATTTCCTCTTCCGTTGATAGAAGGAGGTCTATGTAAACAACTCAGACAGGGTTTATCTGGCAGCCAGGGAACATTTCTTTAATGTCACTTCTAAGTAGAATGCTGCCTTAGCTTCTGTGAGGGAAAAATAGTGCGAAATTTTATATTCAAAGCCATGGGTTTTAGTTATCTAAATCAGAGCTAAACCATGGACAAAGTAAAACGTTAGGTCCTGAGAAATGTGTAGATGAGAAGACTAGAAAAAGGAAAGGCTCAGTAAATTTTATTTACTTGATTACTTGATGCCCTTCAGATTGGGTCCAGCCAGCCTTTTCCCTAAGACCTTCATGGCAGACTGAATGCCCCAGGCATACAGACTTCAATGGACAGGAAGCCAAGTAGATGGTTCCCTCCCTGTGGGGGTGGGGATCAAGTTTGTGGTAAGAAAACTTGGTGTTTTATCTAACGCTCCTTCGTGGGCATGCTTCCCTTCCCATTCTGTCTTCATCCCACATCAGTTCCAGTGGATGGGCTGAAAAATCAAAAATTCTTTGATGAACTTCGAATGAACTACATCAAGGAACTTGATCGTATCATTGCGTGCAAGAGAAAAAATCCCACATCCTGCTCAAGGCGCTTCTACCAACTCACCAAGCTCCTGGACTCTGTGCAGCCTGTAAGCAAATGATGGAGGATGCTTTGGCAGGGAGAGCAGCCTGATAGAGCCAAGTGATAATGTGCTTTTCTATGGTCTGGCACCACCTGTTGGAGGTGCTTCCATTCCCCTCTGGCTTTGAGTGTGGCCCAGGAAGAAAATGCCATGGAAAAGAAAGGAACACAGGTCACAATGTCCCAGCTGGATGTTGTGAAAGCAGTTGGGACTCAGGGAAGGGGCTTAGAGCAGATAAGTAGTCTAGGCAGACAAAACAGACCTGGATGTTTTCCCTTTCTTGCTTGAGTCACGTGCATGTGAGTTTATGTATGTATGTGTGTGTGAGAGGGAGAAAGAGAGAGAGAGAGAGAAAGAGTGTGTGTGTGTGTGTGTGTGTGTGTGTGTGTGTGCTGGGGAAAAGGAACACCCAGTCCTGAGTCAGAGAGCTTGCAATGGTGTGGAAGATCTCTTAAGGGACCTCAGTGAGTCCCTGGAGACCATTTAAGGCATATGTGCACACACACAGACACACACAGGGAGCACCAAGGACACAGAAAGAGGAGGAAATCGAAGGTGTCGGGGGAGAACTTGACAGAAGCCAACTCCTTGTCAACTCTGTTTTCTCCCTCTCCTATTGTCCCCTTACAGATTGCACGAGAGCTGCATCAGTTCACTTTTGACCTGCTAATCAAGTCCCACATGGTGAGCGTGGACTTTCCAGAAATGATGGCAGAGATCATCTCTGTGCAAGTGCCCAAGATCCTTTCTGGAAAAGTCAAGCCCATCTATTTCCACACGCAGTGAAGCTTTGGAAACCCCCATTTCCTCACCTCACCCTACTCCCCTTTTCAGATATCTTCTGCCTGTTATAACTCTGCACTACTTCTCTGCAGTGCCTTGGGGAATTTCCTCTATTGATGTACAGTCTGTCATGAAGATGTTCCTGAGTTCTATTTGCTGGGCTTTTTCTCTTTTCCTCCTTTCTTTTTTTTCCCTCCCTCTCTGACCGTCCCATGGCACTTTCAGACTCTGCTCCCTGCCACGACTCTTATCGGTGTTTTGAATGGTGTTGTATTCCTTTAAATCTGTGATGATCCTCATGTAGCCCAGTGTCAAGTTGTGCTTGTTTATAACACTGCGCTATGTGCCAGCCACACAAACATTTACTTACCTAATGCCATGGGAAGTTTAGAGAGCTCAGAGTATCTGGGAAAACAAAAACAAAAACCTTGCTAGGGTTTTTTCCTCTTAAAAAATATAAAAACAAACAGAAATCCTCAAAGAGGCCAACGGTGACTAGAATAAGGTGAAAATTGCAAGCCCATGGGGAGTCACTGCTTTTTTTCCCAAATCCTCCCTCTCTGGGAGACTTTTATTTTTTGCCAATGGCTATTGCCATTAGAGGGCAGGGTGAACCCAGAGCTGAGTTGAGGCAGAGGGCAGATTTAAGAGAGAATAAAGAGGACAGATGGATCACTAGTACCTGCCCACAGCCTTGGCCCCTGAAGTCTAGACTGGTCAACTGCAGTGCAATTCGTTGTACTGAAAATGTGCTTCTTGTTTGAAGACTTGTCTGCATGTGAACGCCTCCCCCCAATCCCTTTTCTCTCTCACCCTCTGTCTCCACCCTCAAATTGACTTTCCATAGCTTTTCTAGGAGCTTTGAACCAAATATTCTTTTTAGCCAAAACTTGGCCACTTCCAACGAAGACTAAGATGAGTGAGAAGGAGAGAAAAGATCTGCCCCTTTGAAAGGCCCCATCCAGATCCAGGTCTGCTTTCCCATTTGTGGGCTAAGCAGGAGCTTGGGGCTGGAGTCAGAGGAAAAGGAAGTGGTAGCTTGGCTGTTATCCTGCTTAGGACAATGAAGATTTTATCCCTCTTTGCCTCCACCTTTAAAAGACCTCAATGTTTTCTGCCTGATTCCATGCAGCTGCAAGCTCCTGCACCCTCCCTTCAGTGTTCTGTGGGCCTGAACTTCACCAGACTGCATTACAGCCATGGTGGTGAAGCGTGTCCACTTCTTTTGGCATGTTCACAGACTCTCTGCTAAGAGCCCCAACCACCAAGAAGGCTAGCAAGCCAGCAGTCTTGACAACTATCTCTAGATGCCAGTAGGCTCAGAGACTTCTTACCAGTATCTCTCATCAACCATCAGATCTCTGGAGCCCTTAGACAAACTGGAAAGAAGGCATTAATGGAATTGGACAAGCTGAGCGTCTTGCCCTTGTCCCTCAGAGATGATAACGTCCCACCAAGTGGAAAAATGACCACTTCCTCCTTCAGAGCAGCTAAAGGGGCTACCCAGATCAGGGTTGAAGAGAAAACTCAATTACCAGGGTGGGAAGAATGAAAGCACTAGAACCAGAAACTCTGTAAATGCTCTCCTTACCACTCAGCATATCCACTTACAAAAGTCATGGGAAGAAGAGAGAAGAAACCAAGAGGAGACTCAGACTACTAAAGTCAAGTCTTCAGAGGCAAAATCTAAAGCCAGATGGGCACCATCTGGTGAGTTTACTCATCCTCCTCCTCTGTTGCTGATTCTGGGCTCTGACATTGGCCATATTCACTCAGACTTCCCACCTTCATTGCTGCCTCTCAGTCAGAGGGAGGCTGAAACATTGAGACTACAGAACTTTGGCCTTCTCTGGAAAGGTTTGGTTGTTGTCACTCTGTTGGGCTGCCACCTATGAACTCAGGGTGTGTTCCTGGGACACTGGTTTCAAATAGTCCTTTGGCACACCTCTGTTCTATCAACTTTGTCCCCTAATCCCCAGTGCAGGGGGAATGTCTACCAACTTTCTCATCATGGACATTGCCTTCTCACTTATCTCTTAAATTCACCTGCTAAACTAAGAAATTAGGGGCCGGTCACCAAGCTGCCCATTTCAGTTGGTTCACTCTACTTGTTGAAAAGATAGTTTCAGAGTGACATGATATGATCTACATGAGTTTCCTCCCCTGATTTCTGTGCTGATATTAATAGCCAAATGAACTTGCAAAACAGCTGCTTTAAATAACAAGGGAGGGGGAACCTAAGATGGGTAATATACCAATCCAAGATTGCTGGACAAAACTAAAGCTGACAGGCTTTCTTTCTGGGATAGAATAGAGAAATTCTGGTTTTCTTTGTTATGACACCACTTGGCTTATGTAAGCTCACAAGATCACTTTTAGCTGTTTTAAACAGAAAAAATCCACCATTCTTTTCAGTTAAACTACGTTACATTTTATTAGTTTCTTTACATCTGTTTTGAAATGATTTTCATCTTTTGTGGTACATGGATTTGATTAAGTCATTCTAATACCTCTCCTTGTAAATACTAGAGGCTCTCTTTACCATTTCTCTGACTATCAGATTTTTCATCTTTATGGATTTCCCAATCGTGACTCTTGTCTTTATGAATATATATGTTTTTCATTTGTGAAAGCCAAAAATCAGTGAAACTGCAGTGTAATTAAAAGCAGCAACAGCTGTATTACTCCAGATTTCCAAACGGCAAGACTAGGGGAAAATGGCCTAAACAAGGCTTTAGGCCTACTGTTTTTACACTGAGGTTTCAGTGAGCAAAGGAGATTTTAGCTTGGCTTTGTTCTCCCACAGATGAAGGGGGGATTTTTTTTTTCTTTTGGCCATTGATGTTCTAGCCAGTGTAATTGACAAAAGTCTCATTTTGCACGCACTCTGCTCTACAAACAGAGTGGATGTGGTTGGTACACTGTGCTCACCCATGAAGGATCGGCCATCCAGACCTACTCACATGGTGAGCTGGAAGATGAAGATCACTCACCAGACAACTCACAGGGACTATCTCCAAAGAGATGTGCAGTGCTTGATGGGGACAGAGAATGAAGAGGAGAAAAAGAAAGAGCACCAAGGAGGAGGCCCCGTCTGTGCTGGGCAGCAGACAGCTGCCAAGGTCACAAACTTTGTGGCCAAAGAAGAGAGTCGTGTGGCAGTTTCAGCTCTTGTTCATTGGGCAGCTCACCCAGACTTGGCCTCTGAGCTGAAATGGGGGTTGGGTTCTTTGTTCCACAGCTTTTCTATGCCACAGACAGTGTCATGTTCTTGGAGAATTCATTTTTTTTAATAAGAAAGTGATTTTTTGAAGGATTCTGTCATATCTCTTTGAAAAAGAAAATCAGTAATACATATATTTTTATATATGTTAACTGGTACTAAAAAAGAGAAAAAATGCTTCACTCTGTCCTTTGGGTAGTTGCTGAGGTGATTGTCCAGGTTGAGAAATAATGTACTGATGCTAGAGTCCTTCTCTGTCCATACTCTACTTCTAAATGCATATATGCATATATAGCAAGAAGTATTCTATTTGTACTTTAAGAGAATATAAGGTCCAGCATCCACATGATACTCACACTACACAAATGACTTAACTTTCAGCTTCAAGTAGTTTCTAAGTGTTTCATTAGGCACAGCACAGACATGGCCTTGCCCTCTTTTCTCCCTTGATATTTAACAGGGCGCAAAAGCCCAAGCCGTGCCCTCTACCCGTTCCCAGCCCCGTGCCAGGGTTGCACTTCATGAGACTTTCTCCAGATAGCCCACTAACTGTCCCTGCATGACTCTGTGAAAACAAGAGGCTAACTACTAGTTATCCTGTTCCAGGAGCCCAGGTGAGAGGGCAGTGGGCCAAGTGCTTGACCCCCTGTAGGGGGTCATGGGAACCAGGGACGGTAAAGCACAGGATCAAATCCCAAACTTAAAGTCAAAATAAGCCATTTAGCATACGCAATTTCTTGTAAAATGAAGTCTCTACCCCTGTTGCCTTTTATAGGCAGGTCTGTTCTCACCACTAATCTCTCTGAAAATCTTTGAAAGCAGTTTAAAAAAAAGACAAAGAGATGAAAGCACCACATTATGTAACCAAAGATTACACTGTATCTGCTAAGATACCAAATTTTTTAAGGGCAGGGAGGGAACAAGCATTAGTGCCTCTTGGGTAAGGTATCCAAAGACAGACTAAAGGAGTTTGCTGGTGACTGACTTATAAGAGTTTTGTGGGGTTTTTCCCCAACAATATACATATTTAGAAGAATGGAAGATAATTTTAGGAAAAGAATGGGATTATGGTTCCTTCACTAAGTGATTTTATAAGCAAAACTAGCTTTCCTTTTCTCTAGTAGTTGCTGAACAAATTCCTAAAGCTCCATTATTGCATGGATGGACATGGAGCTGTCTTGGCCACTGTGTTTGCTAGTGCCCATGTTAGCTTATCTGAAGATGTGAAGCCCTTGCTGAGAAGGGGAGTGTTTAAAGGACTAGATTTTGCACTAGAGAGACAGCAGGCAGAATTTCTCATTTCTGCCCACTTTGGACAACACAAAAAGTTCTCTGCGATCTAAGGCAGAAGGTTGAAATATATTGTAAATGAGTATTTGTATCCATGTTTCAAAATTGAATTATATATATATAGATATAATATGTTCTGATAGCTTTACCTTTCTCTGCACCTTTATATTTGGTTCCAGGTCATAATTGATACCATGTACTTGTGAGAGAGGCTGCAGTTACATTTTGGAAGCTCTCTCAGAACAGAAAAGACACCTGGGTTGATCAGATAACTAAGAGACCTCTGCGCCTATTGGGGCCTGACCCACAGGCCTTGCAAAAGGAACAGAGAGGGGAAAAGGGTACATGATGTATTGCACTTTACTAGCCCAAGACAGATGAATGTGTAAAGGGTGGTGAAGACTTACTGGAACTGACTGGGATTTACCATAGGCAAGGCCAGACTAGGAGACAAAGGCCCACCCAAATAATTAGCCAATGGCCCCCTAATGGGAGCTGAGCAGTTAGAAGAAGAAGGGCATTCTTTGTTCTTCACCATCCTTGTGAAAAAAAGGCAGTTTCCTGCACTTGGGAACCTGGAGCAAGTGCTCCATCTTTCACACAATTCACTCACCTGCGATTGAGGTGCTCTTGCTAC